CCATCTGAATCTCACAGATGAAAAGATGAACTTTATTCACAGTGGAAACTTAAGATGTTTATTTGTAAAGAAGCCCTCAAACATGTTTTCCCACATTGATCACATTCATGCAGTTTCTCTCCAGCGTGGATCTTCATGTGTTCCTTAAGGTTTGATGATTGTGTGAAACTCTTCTCACACTGATCACATACGAACGGCTTCTCCCCCGAACGAACTCTCACATGCAATGTATGGTTTCTCTCCAGTGTGGATCCTCATGTGAATGGAAAAAAAAGTATGTGTTAAAATCATTAACACGATAAATATACCCACCCCAAGACCTACATACTTCTTACATTTCACAAGATGTGTTTGGCTCGAAGTGACGCTGTGCAGACCGAAGTATTCTATTCTAAATCATAGAGCGGCTGCTCTCTAATCGCTCTCGCAGTACTTTGACTTCAAGTCAAACACACCTGGACAGTTGATTGTTGACGAACACGATGCAGAGCGACAACTCACTGCGTAATGAAGTCTATAGAATGCAGTTATATGCCCCTAAAATTCAAGAGATTGTGGCAAAGAATTTATTTATATCATGTAAGCAATATCACACAAGCAACGAGTGCTGTTTTTGTCTGGAATAGCACGAGTGCAAATGTGATATTGATTTTATACAACAGTTCAATAAATAATAACTTAATATTGTTTTTGCTCACTTTTGCCAATGCAAATATTACCTATTAAAGCAGGGGTTCTCAAAGTCTACATTCAAAGGTCCAAATCTAATTTTCATCAGTGTCAAAGGTCCGGACCGGAACAATTGGTTATTACAAAACTTGTTTTTAATAAACATAGGCTACATAACATGCATAACAAATAAACATAAATAAAAAAAATATAATAAAGTGCCCTTTGCATTCAAAATACATTAATAGCAAGTGCAAAAGTGGCAAAACAATTAATTTAAGTGTCAGCAATAGAGGTCGACCGATGCCCATTTTTACAAATCAGGGCAGCCGATGGCCGACATATGATACTGATATGTTTGGCTGATTTTAATTTTTTTTCCCCTTTATCTCATAAAAGCGAGTTTGAGTAAATGATTATTGCAGGGACGGTAACGGCTGTAATCAAATAAGCGCTGCGCTCACAAATGCTAGGAATGAAAATGACATCAAAGCTGTTCTGAAAACTGTCGGTTCTTTTCAGTGATACATTCATATAAAAACACCCGCGCTGCATTTTAATTTTGAAACGTGCAGTGCTCAGTTTATTCAACGAAGTAGAATCCTTTTGGAAAATCTATTTGTGGCTGTCAGTTTTGATTTTATGACGGGCCGCCACAAATAACTCAATGTATGGGAAACACTGGACACTTCTATAAGTCAAATGGCCATAATCTAAGTGATAACAAAAATAAATAAATAAAAAATTACTCATATTATTATTAGCGGTGAAATGTCGCCCGATTATGTCAAACGTCATATGCTCACTGGATGTCATGACAACAAATGTCATGAAGGAAAAGTTTCAATATCTCGCCTTCGCTTTCATTTCGGACAATCTCCAAAAAGACATTAAAAAAACTAAACAAATGATTTACAAGTTTAACATGCGTTTATTAAAGTAGGAAATAATTAGTGCTCTTGAAATACGAAATGGAGGCGGTTCGGACTGAATTCCCTCCGGATCCGGACCGGAGTCCGGACTTTGAGAAGCACTGGTTTATTTGATACCCCATGACTCAAATGTCTTTACTGTCACTTTTGATCAATTTAATATATCCTTGCTGAATAAAGTAATAATTTCTTTTAAATAATCTTACTGGCGCCAAACCTTTCACTTTCACCCTTCGTATGTCTGTTAAATCCAGGTGAGGATCACCTGTACACCTTGTTTTCTGAAATTTCAGAAGGACACAGACTCATGAAATGTTGATGTTCCTTTAGTGTCTCATTCCTTGTCTGTTCAATAATTTAGTATGTGAAAGAATTAGCCTCGTCTGAGACAGAATATATCATAGATTCATTGCTCACACATGAAAACATCTAATGTTATGAATTAGCTTTGATATACTAGGCTCCATGGGATGTTTTTGAATACTTTATATCAAGGCTCTTCCACCTTATTCAGGACAAAGACTCCTTGGTGGATATAAAATGGAGCAGGGCCCCCTGATAAATATTGTATAAAAGGAGATTTGCATTTTAGGCCAGGCCTATAATAAAATGCTATAGTACAATATTAATGAATAATTAATATTGTTAAAATAAAATTATATTTATTTATTATCAAGAGCCATATAGTTGTGCATTATAATTTTACTAAATTCATTATAATGTGGGATTGGGCTGATCTTCAACTCCTTAACTTGAATAGACTTCTAAACTGTTTGTGTTGTTGTACTCTTAGTGGTATAATTGTTTTTGTTAGTTCCTCTTTATTAATTACTTCCTACCTAGCCCAGTATTTTGCACATACTAGTGACACACCTGAAGTCCTGTTTACTCAAAGCAGTTATTTAAACAGAATGACATTTATTGGAGATCATCTTATAGAAGGACAGCAGTTTCTACAACCTTTTTTATACTTTGTTTGGGTGTTTCATCAAAGGAAATGGCGGTTTCTGTTCTTCCTGATTGCATGAACTATAGCTTAAGGCAGAACGTGAGTGTTTGTGTGTCATGGGGTGTGGTTTCACTTGCTGCTTTGAGGGAGTTAGCCCTCATTTGTCACAAGCCACATGCAACCTGTTTTGAGAGCAGCGCGCAACAGTAGTCGACGGTTGCATAGGGCAGCTGTCGTGTGCCACCAGTTTCCATTGTGCTGTCGAAGTGACTGATCATGGAGACAGAGGTAGGGCTCGCAGAACTCTTGCTTCTTTTCTTAAGCGTAATTTTAGTATGCTGTTCAACATTACAAATCCACAGACTTTGAAATACAACGTGGTTGCCTAAACATTCAGTCCACCTCCAGGTTTCAGCCTTAACTACTTCCAAGAGCTTAGAGACTTTTCTTTTGGATAGCAAGCTGACATTAGTGGTTAGGTTTACCACAGAGTAAGTAGCAGCCTTTTTCCATGAATGGCGATCTCATTATGCTTCGCAAAAGGTATAGGATTTTATAAAAGACCTCAAGCCAATGTAGTGCTGAGACTAGTTGATTGCGTTGTTGTTTTTAAGCCAGTAGTACATTTGAAGGGTAAGGACAGCGTGTTAATGCATCTATTTTGCTGATTTATGTTGAATGTTTTAAAAGAAACTGCATTTTTGTTCAATTTGATTCAGAATAACTTGATTCAGAATAAACTTGATTGAGAATAACCTGCACTTCCATGGAGGCTGATGTATTTACAAGCTTGGGATTGTTGTAGTAACAGTTGCCCCATCAGTCCAGAGCACAGAATTCAAAGATGTCGTCAGTGTGAAGTGTATCAGAAAGTCATCAGCAAGAATCATTTTGGTGCAGCTAGCCATTGACCAAACTCATAAAATTATGGTCACACTGAAAAAGCTCTTGTGTTTTTGACTTCCTCTGGTCGTGATGTGATTTCCTCTTTCTCTCTTTCTTTCTTCAGCCAGGTATTGTGTCTCCGTTTAAGCGGGTGTTTCTGAAAGGAGAGAAGGGGAGAGATAAGAAGACTCTGGAGAAGTCCACTGAGCGTAGGGCCCTCCACACCTTCTCCCTCTCTCTCCCGGACCACCGTATCGACCCAGACATTCTGCTCAATGACTACATTGAGAAGGAAGTTAAGGTATTACTCGCCTTCAAATTTGTGCTATTGTATTATGTACTCATTTTACCATTTTGTTTGGGGGGAAAAAGCCTTTGGGGGAGTAAACCCTTCCCAAATCTTTTGCTGTTGCCATCAAAGGCAGAGCGTCCAATTAAACTTAAAGGGGTCATATGATGCTTTTTAAAAGATCATTATTTTGTGTAAAAGACTCAACCCTCAGTTACCGTAATATTCTTCTTTTGCATTCAAGCTCTGCATTTGACAGTGTTTGCCACAAGCTCTTCACAGGATCCCATCTTGCAGCAAGTTGTTATTTTTACAAAACCTTTACCTAATCAACCTATGGCATCCCTCAGGGTTCGATACTTGGTCCGCTTCTATTTGCATTTTATGCCTCTATTTCGACAGATAATGAGACACCATGGTTTCCACTGTTATGCTGATGATACCAACATTTATAACAACTCCTGTGATTTCTCCCCTCCCTCCCTTAGTTTCCTAGCTAGCTAGTTAGGGACTTCCATGGGTGGCAGGTTATTTAGCACTGCTGCTCCTAGATTCTAGAGCTCCTTAGACAAAAATAAATAAATAAAAGAACTGTGTAGTGCAGTCTCTTGTTGTATTCCTGTATCTCTCCTTATTTTCTTTTGCCATTTTTTTCATATAAATAATTGTTTTTCATTATTTTCCTTATTTTTTATTATTGTTATTATTACTATTGTAGTATCTGGGACAGCTGACCTCAGTTCCTGGATATCTGAATCCCTCCAGCCGCACAGAAGTTTTGCAGCTTATTGACAATGCCAGGGTAAGAGAAACGGTCAATGACATTGCCTTATTTTGCAATATGAAGATAAATTCCCACATTGCTTCTCTAATGTGTTTTGCAGAAGTCTCATCAGTTGGCAGGGCAACTGACATCAGAGCAGGATGCTGTTGTCAGTTTGTCGGCATACAATGTGAAGCTCGTGTGGCGTGACGGAGAAGACATCATTCTCCGCGTACCCATTCATGACATCGCAGCTGTGTCCTACATCAGAGACGACTCACTCCACCTCGTGGTGCTAAAAACAGGTACGCAGTAATGTGGATGAGCATTACACAAAAAGCGAAACAGAACACGGAAATTGACATTTTTTTTAGATTCTAAGGATAATGTGTGAAAATAATTTTGGGTTTTCTTACCATGGGGTATGATTTGCGTTTGCAGCTCAGGAGCCCGGAGGTTCTCCATGCCATAGTACAGAGATGTCAAAATCTCCCACTCTGAGCTCTCTTTCAGAGAGCGGCGCTGTGCTTGTGGAGGTCTGCTGCCTGCTTGTGCTGGCTGTCGACAATAAGGTTGGCTTTGGTCATTTAAAAGGACCTTATTTTGTCTGTTAAATTTGAAACAAGTGACATGACCAAGACTTGACGAGTTTATTGCAAAAACTACTGCTATTGTGCAATGTACTGTTACTTTTGATGTTTATAAAAGCAGCAGTGGTTTGATTATCATGAGCTCTGGTTTTGCAGGCTGCAGCAGAGGAGCTGTGTCTTCTACTTAGTCAAGTCTTCCAGATCGTCTACACAGAGTCCACCATTGACTTCCTGGACAGGGCCATCTTTGATGGAGCCACAACACCCATCAGGCATCTCTCGATCTGCAGCGGTGAGTAGGCAAGAGCTTCATCATTTTGGGATTTCCCAGTAAATTTGTACTTGCCCAAAACCACAGACCACAGTCAGTTTCACATCACTATTTCATCTGGGGTGGTTTATTGGAACCGTATTTATGCTTCCTGAAGCTTAGTCTGTTAATATTACACTGACCTTGTTGCAAAATTAAATATTTCTAAATACTTTCCATATTTTTCCAATAAAAGAGGACTCCTCGAGCAAAGATGTCAAAGAAGTGTTTGAGGCCGAGGAGAGCACATTGTGAGTATCGCTTCAAATGTCGTCTGCAGTAATGTGCCATTTTATCTCTTGAATTGAGCAATCATTGTGTTTTTGTCCAATCTCAGTACTTTCCAAAGTTCTCTAGAGGCGGGACACTCCTCTAGCCCCTCCCCCTCCTCCACCCCGGCCTCACCACAAACCATAACAGCCAGTGAGAGTGAACTAAGCACAACAGCTGCTGAACTGCTACAAGACTACATGACCACAGTGAGTGTTTGTGTGTGTAGAGTGCAGTGTATAAAAATACATTTGAATGTCTGTTGTTAGAGTCTGTAATTAGTCTTTGCATAACAAATTATGTTTTTACACTGTTTTCCTGTCATCCTCTGCTATAGTTGAGGACAAAGCTGTCGTCTCAGGAGATACAGCAGTTTGCCACACTGTTACGTGAGTACAGAAACGGAGCCTCCATCCATGAGTTCTGCATCAACCTGCGTCAGCTTTACGGAGACGGCAGGAAGTTCCTCCTCCTGGGTTAGTTACATGTTGGGGTGTTAAATTTGTTTTAAACATAGCTGTTTTTTATGGACTACTCGTTGCTCACTGACTTTAACATTAGTGTATGCAGAGTTGTTATTGTTAACTAAAACTATTAATTGCTTTCATTAATTGAAATAAAATTAAACCAAAATAAATTAAATATAAATATAAAAAAAACAAAAACGAATTAAAAATGCCAATGAATATAACAAAATTACTTATATTAAAATAACTGAAAATTGAAAAGCTAATTTAGTATAGTAAATTAATATACACTATAATCAAATACTATAATAGTATTTAAATTATACTAAATTAACACTGGTTAAAATAACTTTTACCATTTTTACTGATTATTTAGCTCTTGGTTTTTATTCCATATACATTATTCATAATTATATTTTTCCTCTGGAGTCCTCTTAGTAGAATATGTTTTAAATAAATCATAAATTGTAACTGATTTTCCACCCTCTCGATGACCCTTAGAATTAAATATTTTTGCTACTGTATCTTTAAGACTTGTGATATGTGAATGTTTAAAAGGGTCATATGATGTTGCTAAAAAGAACATTATTTTGTGTATTTGGTGTAATGCAATGTGCTTATGCGGTTTAAGGTAAAAAAAACGCATTATTTTCCATATAATGTACATTATTCTTTCTCCTCTATGCCCTGCCTTTCTGAAACGCGTCGATTTTTACAAAGCTCATCGGTCTGAAAAAGCGAGGTGTGCTCTGATTGGCCAGCTATCCAGTGCGTTGTGATTGGCCGAATGCCTCAAGTGTGTGACGGAAATGTTACATCCCTTAACATACTGGGATGCCGTCTCCCAGCAGGACGAGACAAAACCAATAAGACCCATTACAAACAAGGCATTTGTTGCATCCAGTAGGGACATAATTACTGATTATAATGACTTATAGTGTCTTTTTACGCATTGCGTTGCGTTGCGCCGCGTAAACATAAACCGGAGCAATGATTCAAAAACATTAAAACCCATTATAAACGAGGCATTTGTTGCATCCAGTGGGGACATAATTACTGATTATAATGACTTATACTGTGTTTTTACGCGTTGCGTATCGCATCACGTAAACATAAAACCATGTCTGCATTTGTGATCGGAGAAGCAACAAGACTACTCTACACTGCTCAAAACTCGCCATTTGAATCATCAGTGGCAAATTATTTAAATATAAAAAAACGTACTTACAGGCTGAGTCAGAAGCGCCAGACTGTCCTTGCAAAGTTGGAACTGCCCCACTTTATAGAACAGCCTTTGTGCCACAGACGCATTGTAGGCTACTTGTTCAGGAAACAGTCCTCGTCCTCCATACAATGCGCAGCACACATATGAATATTTGGGTTGAACTGTTCTGGAACAGTGTTGTAAATACAACTTAACCACTGATTTCTAGTCGTGTCCATTTTTGGAAGGCCAAACAAGAAAGGAAAAATTGAAATCGCATCATATGACCCCTTTAATTTACATAGGAGTTTAGTAACTACCAGCAGTTTGAGAGTTTGCTGCCATGTCCAGTTTTGTTGCTTCTAACTCCATCCTTCAATAACAGCCTCTTTGTTAAGCCTGTGAGGCATTTTGACAGGTTCAAACAATTTGTGCTGAAATTTGTGTCACAAATTGTTATGGTCAGACTGTTGTTGTCGTCAGGGACCTACAACTTCCCCCCTCCTCCAAAAATAAACAGCTGCTTGCAGAATATTTAAATAGTACGTCAGACTTCACATTTGTTCTTATTGACCTATGTTGGAGATTTTCTTCATTTGTTAAATTCCCTTCTGTTTTCTCCACTCCAGGACTGCGGCCTTTCATTCCTGAGAAGGACAGCCAGCACTTTGAGAACTTTTTGGAAACCATCGGCGTGAAGGATGGCCGCGGCATCATAACAGATAGCTTTGGACGTTACAAACGCACGACAAGCTCTGCGTCAGACTCCACCACTAATGGAAACGGTGCTGCGGGCGGATCGGATGAAGGAACGGCCACCTCTGAGGGCGACGAATGGGACCGCATGATTTCAGACATAAGCAATGACATTGAAGCGTTAGGAAGCAGTATGGACCAGGACGGCGTGTCGCCTTGATGTCACGGCACTGGGTCAGTGTCTCGCAGTGTGCTTTAGCCAATCACCACTTGAGATAATCACACGGGCCATTGGCCCATATTGCTGTCCATCCAATCTGACAATGCTGGAGTTCGGATACTGTATGGATACCACTTCCTGGCCATCATCCTTATTTTTATATGTTGTGCCATATTAACACAACTGGATTTTTCAGATTTGACAATTGTGATTTTCAAGACCTGTGATAGAAGGATCGTGTATTGCTGTGGACAGCAGTTGTGTTCTTCTGGGATGTTTATTGGCAGTATCTGCTACCACTAATGAGAAACCTTGTTGCTGGTAGATATCGCTCTTTCACACTGATCTGTATGAAAGCTTATTTCCACCACAGATTAAAAAGGTATTTTACAATTCTGACTTTTTCCTCACAGTTCTGAGAAATTCTCAGAATTGCGAGATATAAACTTGAAATTCTGCAGAACGCAATTACTTTTTTATTCAAGAAATAAAGGTAATTGTGACTTTTTATTCCACAGTTCAGACTTTTACAGCAAATGCAAGTTAACCTGTTTTTGAGTTTATATCTCACAGTTTTGAGTTTATATTTTGACTTCAGAATTGCAGGAAAGTCTAATCTGAGAAAAAAGTCAATTGTGAGATGTTAATTTAAATTACTTCATAACTTTGGTTTATAACTCAACTCGAATTGCAAAAGGTCAGAATTATAAGATTAAAAGTTACCCTTTTTAAAAAATGAACAATTCTGTCGTTTTTTCCCTCTAAATTGTGTTTATATCTCACAATTCAGACTTTTTCTTAGAATTGCACGTCTCGCAGTTGAGTTTATATCTTGAAATTCTGACTTCAGAACTGTGTGAAAAAATTGAGCAAACTACTGAATGATAACTCATTCTGACAAAAATGTAATTGCAAGTTTTAAAATCTCAATTGTGAGAAAAAAAAGTCAATTATGAGAAAGTCGCAATTACATTTTTATTTATAAAAAAAATAAAATAAAGGTAATTGCAACTTTTTATCTCACAGTTCTGACTTTTTTTCTCAGTATCACATGTTTATATCTCGCAGTTTATATCTTGCAATTCTGACTTAAGAACTGAGGGAAAAGTCAGAATTATGAGATAAAAACTCAGAATTGTGAGGAAAAACGCATTATTATGAGTTTATAATGCTTAGTTGCGAGACAATTAATTTGCAGGTAACCTCTTAAACTTTTTAGAAATTCTGTTGCAGAAATAAGCTTCCAAAGATTGAGACCAGTGTGTGAGACCACTTAGTGTCTCATTTAATGCGACTTCTGATCAGTGTGAAGGTGCAGTTTGGAGCATTGCCTAGTGTGCTTCCTAAAGCGTGATCTGCATTGCCTTATGTGTGTTGTATGTGTGTTGTAACTAGGGCTGCACGATAAATATCGCACGATATTTAATGTGCATCTCGTCAGTAAAGCCGGTTCTGTAAGCAGCGGTAAATCTCTACACATGCGTGCTTTCACGTGGAGCAGCATTTACTACACAGAGCCGTTGTTCACAGACAAGCTGCGCAAAACCACGATCATATTTTGCGCATGTTTTGCGCAGCTTGTCTGTGAACAACGGCTCTGTGTAGATGCGCATTAAATATCGTGCAATATTTATTGTGCAGCCCTAGTTGTAACCTGATGGAAGTGAGCTGCAGTATATTTCTCCTGCACTGAAGTGCTAATCAAAACTTGACCTTTTTACACCCTTATATTAACTGGTCACTTGTTTTTCCTCTAACATATATTTTTCACTTTTATATTTGTTTCAGCCAGGATTGATCATAATTACCCAGTTATTATCATGTTTCTTCAGGTAGGAAATGTAGCACTATATATTTTTGGTTTTGAATGAAACCTGGAAAATGTGGATATTAGACAAAGTCAGTTTTCTGGCTGATTGAGAATGCAATATTCAGCCATTCATTGTATCTCCTCAGAGTTTTCAGTAATCTAACATTGTGCCTTGCAGAATCACTGATTGTATCATCCAACATGGATGCAAGTAATATTCTGTAATCTGTACAGAATGTGACTGAAGTATGAGTTTATTAAAATGTGCAGCACTTACATCCTCATTTATTGCTTTTTGTATCATTTGAGCACTTTATAGTGAAACTACAGGAGGGGTTATTTCACAAGAATGGACTTGCCTGCTTTGCATCACATTTTACACACACACACACACACACACACACATGATTGTAAAGCGCTTTGGGTGTATAGCAATACACAATAAAGTGCTATATAAATGGATAATTCATTCATTCATTAATATGGAGTAGGAAATCATTTCCGCTAAAGAAACTTTTTTAAATTGTGGTGGCATTGTGGCAATATAACATTGTTGCCAGCAGGGGGCAGTTGTTTACCTACAGCAGCAATCCAGATTGACCAAGTTTCTTGATCAGCAAATTATCATATGATTTCTGAAGGATCATGTGACACTGAAGACTGGAGTAATGATGCTGAAAATTCAGCTTTGCATCACAAGAATAAATTACATTTTAAAATTAAAATAAAACGTGATATTTATATTATTTATGATATTGTAATAATATTTCACAATATTACTGTTTTTAACTATCTTAAGAGACTTGCCGACCCCAAACGGTAGTGTATGTGTGTGCTGAAGGTCTATACATATGTTTTATTTAATAAAAAAATATATAGTACATTCGTTTATTTTCCATTTGCACAACTGGGAATTGCTGTAACTGTGCTCCAAATTCCTCACACTTGTTTAAAAGACACTCACAACTAATGACCAATAAAAACTTTGACAAAAATAGGCATTTAAGAAGAATCCCTAACATAGGCATAAGCCTGCTCAATTTATCCAAGCATGTAGCTATCACGCAACGATAAGTAGGATTAAACTTATCCCACATTGCAACAGTGCACTCCCTCTCTCTCATTAGTGGATGTTACCTCTGAAACAAGAGGCCTTTGTCATGGATTGACTTCTTTTTGAGGTTACCTAGAGGGTTAATTTTGGATAAGATAAACTTGTGCTATAAATCTGCCCTTTTAATTCTTTTGTGCTGGAGAGTCCTTGCCATCAAAGCAAGAGCTAAAGTCCTCAAAGACATCGACTGGCATTATCACATGGCTACAGAACAAGCTTTGGCACCCGTACATATAAAACGACAGCGCCAAAAGTTTATTTGAGCAGAAGACATTAAGTCGGTCATTAATAACACGCCTCTTGAAGACGAACATGGCGCATAACTTCGCTCACACAGCACATACCTGTAATTCCAGGGCGCATGCATGCGTAAAACCCTCATTCCTCACTGGAGCCAAGAAGCACATCCTGACAAACTGAGCTGCTTTAGGGACACACAAAGGGTGTCAAAGGTCAGTACCTTGATCCTGAGCTAACAAGGAGCTGGGAGCTTATGTCATGTTAGATGTCATTTGACAAGACAGCTGCACTGGAGACAATGATACAGAGAGACCCGGTCTCTCATTAGAGCTAAAGTTGACTGGGGAATGGTGGCAGACAATAGCTCCAAAACGACAGGTGGCTTGATGGTTTATAAAGGCAGTAAAGAGTGCATTAGTGCCCACCCACTTTTTCAGCAGCATTGGTTCCGGAAGTGTTTGTCCAATAAATTTTTCCCATAGGGATTTTAAAAAAAGTCTTTGTTAAAAAGTTAAAAGCCATGAACCAAGTCAACCAGCTATGAGGTCAATCACAACTTTAAAAAGTATTGAAAATCAGACAAAAACACAAAGGATCAAGACTTTGTGTGAGGGAAAGAACTACCATCCCACAAAGCACTGCAAATGACATAATTAAATTAAAAACAGAGCAATATTAAACTAATGACTTAGTATAGTATATCTTGTGATAGTATATCAACTTTTCATTGCTGTCTATGGAGGGACAGAAAGCTCTCGGATTTCATCAAAAATATCTTAATTTGCGTTCCGAAGATGAACAAAGGTCTTCTGGGTTTGGAACGACATGAGGGTGAGTAATTAATGACAGAATTTTCATTTTTGTGTGAACTAACCCTTATATGTTATAATTCAAAATCATTTCCTTTATACACTCTCAGAAAAAAAGGTACAAAGCTGTTACTGGGGCGGTAAGGTACAAAAGCTAAAAGGTACATTTTTGTACTTATTTATCTCTAAATGTTGCATATTAGTACATACAAGTACTTCAAAAGTACATATTGGTATTTTTGAAAGGGTACGGCCCCAGTTTTGTAACTGAGAGATTTTTCTGAGAGTGTATGGAGAAAATGAATGGCATTTTTATCTCTGGAGCCAGATTGTTGCACTCAATGGCTTTACACAAAAGATTCAGTTTTGCAAAAAAAAAATAATAATTTGATTAAGCAATATCACACAAGTAGATATTTGTGCCAACAAACATGACTGAGTGATACTGCGTTTTTAAGTTTAATAAACAAGAAGTTAATATTGAGTAACTTTAATTTTAGACACAATATCACTGAAAGTAGTTCCAATACAAAACAGTGAAAAGTCTCCACGCTATCAGCTGGTCGACCAATCACATTCGAGGACCGGATTGCTATAAGAAAGTATTAAAACTGCTAATTGTGAGACAATATGTCAAGTCCCAGAATGCTTTGGGAGTTTATCATTGATCAAGGATGGTTTGGCTGTACACAAAAGCCAGTCATTGAAGGGATGTGAAACACAACCTTCCTGAAAAAGGACTTTGAAACACACCCTTTCAGCTTTTGTTCAGAGCTGGTTTCACTGAATTTTTGAAAAAACGTGAATGAGAAAGCCAAGATATTTTCTCTGAGGTAGGCCTATTGTTCTGACTGAGTTATCCAGCAATATATTCACAATATTCACACTGCAAATGTTTAAGATTAACATGAAAACCAAGTGAACCGAAATACTCCAGTGTTCAAACAAACAGGAAGTACCTAAACATCCACAAATAAGGTAATTGAGCGTAGTAATGCCACTTATTATCGTAGCCTTTGCACATATGTTGGAGTTTTTGTTTATGAAAACATGTCATTTGAATGATGGAGATCTGAAGAGACGCTCCTCCCAAATTGGGAAAAATGGAACCACTTAAGAGTAATTGGCTCCATAGAGATTGGCATAAGCTCAATGTACACAAAGTGGTAAACTGATGAGCCTTCTTGCTTCCTTTCATAGTAACATACTAACTCGGCAACAATGTACTGGAAAACATTTATTGCAGGATTATATGGATGAATTATCAGAGGTTTCTGTAAGCATGTTTTCCATAGATGATCTGTAGACTGTGATGTTATTGTACAGTATATAGCAAATACCATCTTTACTGTACATGCCAAGCATAATATTTTTTAATGAATCTAACCACAACCGAGTTATGTTTATAAGATATTCTTCTATATAAAATACAAATGTGTATAGAAAAAATCTTAGAGTTCAAACATGCAGACTCATGTGTAACTACTTGAGACATTTTGTGTCATACATAAGCAAAACTGAATTAAGGCTGTGGCTCTGTTCCAAAACCTAGTGAGCTGCTTCACTACGGCCTACATAATCATAATCATGAACCGCACAAGAGACCGATTTGGAGCGCTCATACATAGGTAGCAAGTCTTTGTGCCACACAATTTGCATTACTCTTAGGCGATTTGATTCATTTTATTTCAACAGAGTGCAACATTCTGGTTCCGGAAGTGAAATACCATTCATTTTCTCTGCTGGGGAATTGATTTTTAACAATAACCATTAAAGAAAAGCCTTCTGTGAGCTTCAAGGTTGTTAATCGATGGTACAGGCTTTTGTTGAAACCATCAGCCTGCATTACTCTGTTTCTTATTTATTTATTTTTTATCATGTTTAGTGGTGGAATTCCTGGTGAAAATGATCACAATCACAACCACAATGATTCATAGGATTGTAATTATTTTCCTTAATAAAGTCAATAAGTACACAACCTTTGTCTTTTTGTCTGATTTTCAGAAATGTTTTTGCTTCAGGTCAAAGTTTATGTTGTGATTAATTTCATAGCTGGTTGGTTTGGTTTACGGCTTATAACTATTTAACGAAAATGTTTTAAAATCCATAGGGGAAAAATTAATGGGGAAAAAAAAACATGTTAACAAAACATGACGTTAACATGTTGCTAAGCTAACGCACTAATAAAGCATTAAAATAATACATAATAAGCATTAAAATTAGTGCTGGGCAACAATTAATCGTGATTAATCGCATCCAAAATAAAAGTTTTTGTGTACATAATATATGTGTGCGTACTGTGTATATTTTTATATGTATATATAAATACACACATCCATAGGGGGAAAAATAATGGGGGAAAAAAAACATGTTAACAAAACATGACGTTAACATGTTGCTAAGCTAACGCACTAATAA